CTGGATCATATGGTATGCAGATTTTGAGTTGTTTGAGTGTTCTCCATACTGATTTCCATAAAGGCTGTACCAACCTGCAGCCCCACCAGCAGTGGAGTAGGGTTCCCTTTTCCCCACATCCTCACCAACAACTGTCGTTGGTGCCCATGACTTTATAATCTTAAGGTGAGGAGCTTCCATTTCTTCACTTACGAAATAGGGATAAGAAAGCATACTTCGGAGAGCTGTGAGAAGATTAAATGATGCTTCTCATAACAACACAATGTTTATATGAGATAACTATTGAATGCATAGTAGCTATGAGAGTCAAGCCTTTGCTGGGTATCCAGCATTTTTTTGTTTAGGGTTTCTTCTTGGAAAACAAATTTTAAGTTGTATTTTGGATTTTGCTACCAAAATCCAATTGAAGTCATATATCAAAGCAGTTCTTTAGTGTAGACTTACTTCTTTCTTCCCTTTTAAAGTAAACGAATGCATTGTATAGACCCCTGAGAGGTTTGTGGGTCCTAGCATTTTGTCTACACTACAGAGCATAATGGGTAAGTTAAGCTGAGGAGCGAGATCTGAGGGGAAGATTCCTCTCTGCCTTTCAATGTGATTCCTTGCTTTCTGAAAGTTATTGGCCTCTCTGCCTCTCAGAACACATGTTGCCCTTATACTTCTCCCTTGCCCCACCTACCCAATTGGTACAGGCTGTGGAGGTCTAAGTACAACTAATCCCGTCCCCATACTTCTTAGGCTACATCATGCCTTCAACCACCTTCTGATAGAATAAGTCTGATTAAGTCTCCTCCCTTGAGGCTCTTGTCTTGTTTTTGGTAAACTGTCCCCGAGTTTTCTGACAAACCATTTCTCATGGAGGTATGAATGACTGTTCCTCCTCTAATGTTTCCAGTGTATTTTCATGTTTATAAAAAGCTTTAGAAGACTCCATGCCATAATTCAATGATGGTAGAATTTAAGTCCAACTGAGGAAAAACTTCAGAGCAGTAATTTGAGAATAATTTAGATTGCATTGTGCATGAATCTTGGTGCCCACTGCATCTGTTTATTCAGTGTGCCTTGGTGGTTTAATTATGATTAGAGACCTCTAGGAAGCATGAAACTGCCTATCCTCAAAATTTCCTTTGTAAAATATCATGTTCAATGAATTTCAAAACAAGGTTTCTTTTTAATGTTTATTTATTTCCATCAGACCATCAGATGGCTCACTTCCCAAATGCCCACATTAGTCAGGACTGGTCCAGGTGAAAGTCAGGAGCCAGGAACTCCAACTGAGTCTTCCACATGAGTAGCAGGGACCCATTTAGATCTACTAGCAGGACACATCCAGGACACACTAGCAGGAAGTTAGATCAGAAGTGGAGCAGTTGGGCCTTTAATTGACACTCCGTTGCCTGCAATGCCCAGTCTTTAAGGCATCTCTTTGATCCTAACGGAATCACACATCGAGTTTGTTCTCCCATCCCACACCACTCTTCGAGTTCTCTTTTCTGGTGACTTTATGCTATACACAGATCTGAAAACAAACCTGATGACCATAGTACCAGTTCATTCTGATTTCAGGTGGGAAAAGGATCTCAAAGGGGATATCAAGAAGTGAATTATAGAACACAGAGAAGATAAATACATTGCCCAAATGGTAAGGCAAAGTAATGGCAGGATCAGGACTAGATCCTAGGCTTTTAGAGTAAACAGATGGGGGATACCATTGAACTCCCAGAGCCACTGGTGCCATTTACTACAGAGCTCAGACTCTGCATTGGGAATGACTGGTTTTTATTCCTGGCTTTTTTGCTTTCTGTGTGTGTGACCTAGAGGAGGTACTGTCTAAACCTGTTTCCTCATCTGGAAAATGAGAAGGCAGATTCTTAAGCTGTAGCAAAATGCCTGACATTGAAGTTCCTATTAAATGATTTTGTCATTATAATAATTATTATTCTTCATAAATATATATATTTCTTTTATATATATTCCAGTTGTATACCCATAACTGTCCTAATTCTACTACTACCTGCTGGCCTATACAAAACCTAGTGCTGTTCTCCAAAAGTGTACACTACACTGGATGGGCATGTCCAGATGCACATGGGGGATACAGCAGTTGGCTGGAAACTGCAGAGGACATCTAGTACCATAGCAGAGGGTGGAGGGCAGAACATTTTGGACAGCTCTCCCAGCCAACATTTGAAAGCAAGTGTCTGGGCAAATGGAGACTCTAGGGTGGACTATGTCAGTCACTATGTCAGAAACTAGGAACAATGAAATCAAGAGCAGCACAGAACCACCAAAGCCACTTGAGCAGTACCCTCTAAGTATGCTCCACATTGGGTACCCTGGGATGACATCGGGTAGCCATCCTCGATCCCTGGGTACAGATATAGTTAAGATGCTGGTTGCAACTTCTCCTCTTAGCTTTCCCCTTCCCCCAGGTACAAAAGAAGAAGAAAAAGGAAATTAGAACCAATGGTCTCATACACCATCACCTATTCCTTGACCCTTCCCACCCTAAGCAGTGGTCTGCATAGGCATGCACTCTTCTCAACTATGCAATCATCATTAAAAATGAAGTTTTTAAAAAATAAAAAAGAAAAGTGTGAACTGTCCAGGCAGTGGTCAGAGCAGTAGGAGAGAATCTGGCAGAACAGGTTCTTTTTAAAGTGGTGGAAAATAAATCAATGGCAATAACCCAAACCTGGAAAAAGAATACAGTCCTTTGTTTGTTCTTACTAGTCGTAAAAGAACCTTAAAAATGCAGTTTACACTAAAATAAATCAAAGGGAACTTGTCTCACTCTCTGTGCCCTTTCTGACCTCATGAGGACAGGCAGTGGCAGCATGGAGTTCCTCCTGCATGGAGTAGCGATGGACATCAGTGTTCTGTAGTCAATCAGTAGACAAGATTAGGAGTCAGTGAATCAAGTAGAAATAGCAGAGACAGAAGCAGGAAACGCATCATTAGGAGTCAGTGAATCAAGTAGAAATAGCAGAGACAGAAGCAGGAAACGCATCATGTACAGGTACAAAGGATGCCATGCCTTGCTACAAATTGGTCATGTGAATGTCTCAGCAAACTTGGTTAGGTGTCTTGGTTAAAAGTAACAGGAGTGGCATTCATATCAGCTCAAACAAAAAGAAGGAATCCGTTATAAAGATGTTAGAGTATCAAAAGAAACCAAGAGCTGCACAACTGACCTGGGATTGGAGTGAAGCCTCCAGATGCTATCAAAACATATCTGTATACCTCTACATCATTCTGTCAGTACACAGACCAACTCCCTTTATGCCTCTGAAAAGTAGCTTGCAAGTTTTGTGAATCACTAGATAGCTATCCAAAAGAGAGTCTGATCCACTTTCTGCAAGTCCAAAATTCTCATGGAAAGAATCTGGTGCCATTCTCTGATTACCATCAGCAGCAGTTAGCATTTAAAAGTTGTTATACCAATATGGCATGTCCATCATAGCTGTATACCTCTGGTGAAGCAGCAAAATTACAGATAAGGGTTGACTGATGCAGGCCCTGAGAATTTCCAAGATAGCAAACATGTTATTCACATTGGATCCTCTCCAGGTCTCAGTTTCCTTGTCTAGATAATAAGTGTAATAATAATAAAACATATCTAATAGAATTGTTTTCAAGATTAAGAAAAATAAAGTCAACCTCTTTGAAGTCCTTGCACATATTATATACTTAGATATATTTAGACATTTTCATTCTATTTTCTCAATTAGAGTACCTAAAAATCTTTCTGGAAGGAGAGGGAATGGTGATAAGAAAGGAGAATTAATAAAATTTTTACCTGGAAAGTATCCTGCCTCAAATATTATATGGTTATTCTGAGCAAATGTTACATAGTTTAACTCAGAAGACCAAAAATGAATATTTCATGTTTCTTATTAACTAATTAGCATGACTGTGTATCCTCAAACCTTTCTCTGTCATTTTTAAGCTTCATAAAGTACAGTCTGATTGCTGGGTTAGTGAATGAAATATTTCTATATTCATGAAGTATAAACATGTTGCAGTTGAGAGATGTGTTCCCCTTGCTGAATAAGTAAACCATATATCTTTTATAAACCCCATTTATTGCATTGTTATTACAACAGGCATATGCTCAGCTTTGGCATGCATTATCTCATTTCTCTTACAAGTTAAGTGCTTTGTCCCCACTTTCCTGATTGGGAAATAGAGGCTCAGATAAGTACAATGCTGAGACCACATACTACTCTGTGACAGAATTAAAATTTGAGATTGTCTTAGTTTGTTCCTGAAGCCTGCATCTTTACATTGGTGTGGGAGCGTCCCTCAGTGCCTTCATTTTGATTATGAGACAGGCAAACAGGTTGGAAATCTCCAGGAAAGCGTGATAAATGACAATCTTACGGTTTCTGTGTGTACACAGAACAACGCCCCAAGAACACGAAAGCTAAATGGTGAAATTATAGCAAGAAAAATAAGTAGAATAACAGGCAAACTCCTTGAACATGAGAACTGTTTCGGCCAACTTGGAGAACAAAAGAGATACATAGGGTGAAAATGAAACTGTAGTCTTTCCTAACTTTAAACTTTTTCAAGTTTTTCAAGTCTTGTTAACATTAGTGGACATCCTGATCATCTATATCTGCATAGGTTGTGTATTTGTGCATGTGGAATATTTTGGCCTGCTCCATAAGAAAGTAATGCTTCAGTGATTAATTTTAGGAGTTAAGAATAACTCCTCAAGATATTTAAAGATTTCTTGATTCATTGACTTATGTTCTGATCATGGGAACTTCTGTGATCTTTCATCTACTCGATCTGTTCTTCCAGAAACGTTTTATTTTGCTCTTGTGCTACTGTGAGTTTCATTATAACCCATACTGTGCTTCATTTGCACTTTCCTTGTTTGCCTCAGCATGTTTGTTAACAAAAGAAACATTTAATATTGTTTTTGTTTTTATTTGAATAATAACTAGGTGAGTATCTCATGTTTCTCTTTGTATTGCACTTTTGTATTTTAGCTCCAGGGTTCCTTGAAAAGAAAACACGGAGTTAACCCATCTCCTGCCAACAGCAAGAGGCCCAATGGCTTTGTTGACAATTCATTCCTTGATATCAAAAGAATTCGTGTGGAGGAGAACTTATCTGGAGGACAAGGTGGACTCCAAATAAATAATGGACAAAATCAGATCATGGCAGGGACCTTGCCAATGAGCCAGCCAACCCTGAGAAAGACCAACACTCTACCGTCCCATTCACATTCTCCCGGCAACAGCATGTTTAACATGGGCTTAAAGGAGGTGAAGAAGGAGCCAGGAGAGACTGTGTCTTGCAGCAAGCACATGGATGGCCAAATGGCCCAGGAGAGTATTTTTCCAAATAGATTTGGAGAAGACTCTGGAGAGCAAATGATGGACCCTGAACTGCAGGAACTGTTCAATGAACTTACTAACATTTCTGTGCCTCCCATGAGCGACCTTGAACTGGAGAACATGATCAATGCCACCATAAAGCAGGATGACCCATTTAACATTGACTTGGGTCAGCAAAGCCAGAGGAGCACTCCCAGGCCTTCCTTGCCCATAGAGAAGATAGTGATCAAAAGTGAATACTCACCTGGCAGCCTGACTCAGGGTCCCTCAGGCTCTCCTCAGCTGCGGCCCCCATCAACTGGGCCTACATTTTCTATGGCTAATTCTGCTCTTTCCACATCATCTCCAATCCCGTCAGCCCCTCAGAATCAGGTTCCGTCTCAGACAGCCTCAGGAGCAAGCCGGGCACTGCCAGGCTGGCAGGAAGTATCCCATGCCCAGCAGCTCAAACAGATAGCTGCCAATCGTCAGCAACATGCCAGGATGCAGCAGCAGCACCAGCAGCAGCACCCGCCTACCAACTGGTCCACCTTACCCTCCACCACTGGACCATCCCCAGGTCCATTTGGGCAGGAGAAAATTCCAAGCCCTTCTTTTGTTCAGCAACCGTTCAGCCCACAGAGCTCACCCATGCCTGGGGTTGGCAGCAGCAACCAGTCGAAAGTAATGGCCAACTACATGTACAAAACCAGCTCTTCAGCCCAAAGTGGGCCTCTAGATGTGCTCATGCAGCAAAAACCTCAGGATCTCAGTCGAAGCTTTATTAACAACCCACATCCAGCCATGGAGCCCCGTCATGGCAACACCAAGCCTTTGTTCCATTTTAACTCAGATCAAGCCAACCAGCAGATGCCTTCTGTTTTGCCTACCCAGAACAAGCCTTCTCTCCTACACTACACCCAGCAGCAGCAGCAGCAGCAACAGCAACAGCAACAACAGCCACAGCAACAGCAGAGCTCACTTTCTGCTCAACCACAGCAAAACTCAATGTCAGCTCAGCAGCAAAGCTCAATGTCAGCTCAACTGCAGCAAAGTTCAATGTCAGCTCAACAACAACAACAGCAGCAGCAGCAGCAGCCACCATCCCAGCCCACCCAGCCTTTGTCAACCCAGCCTTTACTAAGGTCACCCTTGCCACTTCAGCAAAAGATCCTGCTTCAGAAAATTCAGAATCAGCCCATCACAGGACTGGGGTATCAAGTCACCCAGCAACACAGACAGGTAAGAGCTCTCCTCCTTACCAAAGAATTCACAGAGATCATTTAACTTGATCATCATGCTTTGGGAATTGGGTATCACTATGTTTATGTTGCAGCAGGATGAAGACCAAAGGCAGCAGTTGCCTGGATGGATCCTTGTGAAGATCCTTATGAAATCTAGTTCACTTGGTGATTCCAAAGGGGAAGGCTGATATTTTCTTTAGAGCAATACTATTGTTGGGATCTATAATGTTCAAAGGTTTTTGTTTACTGAAAGAGTCACATTACTAAACCAAACCAAACCAAAGACTCTTAGATTGTAACTCATGCCTTTAGTGTTGTGTACAGATGTCAAGTGGGCTTTGATATGCATGATTGTCTTTCACCCAACCAGTCATTAAGTCGATCCACACTTCCTGAGCACCTACTATATGCAAGATGGTCATGATTATGCTCAGTATTGGAATAAGGTGATAGAGTGTTAAATGACTCATCTGCCCATGCACAAACCATTGCAATGTCTATATGATCAACCTGACAGATCTGTCCTAACTCCATAGTCTAACTGTAGAATGCATATTATTCCTACTTAGGATCGCTCTCTGTCTGAAACTACAGTCTGGAGATGGAGACAAACTTTTCAACAATTAGTATTTAATAGCAGATGGAAAGAGTAATAGTGAGCACAGAGGTTGGGTGTTTTACTCAGCAGGTGGAAATCAGGGAAGGCTTATGAAAAGAACTGCATGAATTATTGTGTTAAAAGATGAAATCAGTACAATAGAAAGGGGAAAGACCTGTGGTTGCCCTAAGTCCTTTGGTGAAGATAAAACCAAGGTTTATGAACAATACAAATATAAGCAGAACAAAATGATCACCCTGTACCCCCAGGAAACACACTCGTCAGTAGGCCTAAAACCTGGGGGATTTGAAAAAGGAAAAATCTTCCTGTTGGAAAGAAAGGCAGTTTGATTAATGCTCTGTGCATGTAATTTGATATGTCTGCTTTATCTGTCCTAACCCAAAGATGGTATATCAGCCCATGACATGTCAAAACAGTATGTCAGGGCAGTACTCATTAGTTGGTGCAAAGTTTAATTCCAATAACATTCCTAGAACAGTTTTCATGGCTACATCCCAAAAATGAATGCCATGAGCACCACAGACTGTGTTCAAGCTAACCTTTGCCCTAGATGTGGGCCAAGAGAAAACTAGACTCAACAAGGATTCTAAGGCTGTGAACCAAGGAAAGCTTTCAGCTGTTAACCCACACTTAGGGATTTTTTTTAAATTGTAGATTATGGAGAATTGACTTGGAATGTAGTCATGTATTTTTTAACATGAGCATTCTTGGACTCATTTAAGAACAAATTATGGAATCACATTCTAATGCAATAGGTGGGCATTTTGAATTAGGTGTCTGTAGGTTCTGATTCTTGCTCTAACTTTCCAAGCTGTGTAACCTCAAGCAACTCACTGAATTACTCCCAGGTTTGCAAAACTGAGGATGAAATGATTCTCAGGCAAGAGTTTAAAACTAGTTGACTATTACCATTATTTTTGAAAGAGTACTAAAGTGATTATTATCATCACAGAAATGGCGATAAGTGATCAAAGTATTCTTATTTCTAAGATTTTTGCTCATTTTCATCTTACTTGGAAGCCAGAAGGACAGAGAGACAGGGTAGCAAAAAGAGACATTCCAAGCATTGGTTCGCTCCTCAGATGCTCACAGCGGCCAGGCCGCAGCCAGCCAGTCACATCTCCGACATGGGAGATAACAGATCCACGATCTTGCGTCATCACCTCTGCCTCCCAGGTGCCCACTAGCAGGAAGTAGATCAGATCAGAGCAGTTGAAAGGTCACCCAAACAGCAACCAAACTTACATGCCAAATGCCTTTCCCAAAGCTATTGTTTTTAAGCAAACACTTCCATTATATAGGAGAAACACTGTAATTATCCCAAAATTCTAACATGAACAATATTAGGGAAGTGAACGAGAACTAGTCCTAATGTTTCTGCTTGTCAATAGCATGATGAGTGCATGGCAGTTTTCCCTCCTTGAGCCCATTTCTTCTGATCATAGAAATGAGAATTAGAAATAATATGATAGGGCCTGCCACGGTGGCCTAGCGACTAAAGTTCTCACCTTGAAAGTTCTGGGATCCCATATGGTTGCAAGTTCTAATCCCAGCAGCCCTACTTCCCATCCAGCTCCCTGCCTGTGGCCCGGGAAGGCAGTCGAGGACGGCCCAAAGCCTTAGGACCCTGCACCCACGTGGGAGACCTGGAGGAAGTTCCTGACTCCTAGCTTCAGATCAGTACAGCACCGGCCATTGCGCTCACTTGGGGAGTGAATCATTGGACAGAAGATCTTCCTCTCTATCTCTCCTCTCTGTATATCTGACTTTGCAATAAAAATAAATGAATCTTTGAAAAAGGAAAAAAAAGAAATAATAAGATAGTAATGAATTAGCCTTTGTTGGGTACCTGCCGTACTACTGGCACAACTCTGGACTCTTGTGGTATCTCATTTCACACATTTGAGGAAAGTACCATTATTCCCCACTTACTGGTATAAGAAGTGAGATACAGAGCCTGGTGCAGTAGCCTAGTGGTTAAAATCCTTACCTTGCATGCTCCGGGATCCCATATGGGCACTGGTTTGCATCCCAGCGGTCCCTCTAGGCATTCAGCTCCCTGCTTGTGCCCTAGAGGGAGAGGCAGTCAAGAACAGCCCTAGACCTTGGGACCCTCTACCCGTGTAGGAGACCCTGAAAGAGGTTCCTGGCCTCAGATCAGCTCAGCTCAAGCCGTTGGCCACTTGGGAAGTCGATCAGCAGACACAGGATCCTCCTGTCTCTCCTTCTCTCTATATATATATCTAAAAATAAATAAATCTTTAAAAAAAGACACACAGAAGTTCAATATTTTCCCAATGTTGTGCATTCAGCAAACAGCTGAGTTAGAATTTTCAGAACCTACACTAGATCCTATTCTTCTAGCCACCAGCATGCACAGCTCAAACAAAGGATTTGTTGAGAGATTAATAACCCCTGGCAAGTAAATACTGGGCTCTTAAAAGGGAGATTTCTTTTAATATTGAGAACTGTGTACATCATTTACATAATACATTAACAGTGAGACTCATGAAAACCTTAGATCTCTAATCTACAGACCTGTTAAAGAAACGTTCTGGAAAATGTGTGTGATGGTTGACTTTTCTGAAATAATTTACATGGGGTGATAGGTAATCCTTGATGCTTCACAGGCTTTTTTTGGTGGGGAGGAGGAGACAGACACTTCAGCATGCTCTGTCATGGACATCACGTTGGCGTTAGCAACTCTGCCTCCTCCTGACTTCTCAGTCCGCACCTGAGTTTCCAGGATGCAAGCACATTTATTTGATGCTGACAACCCAGTAAACCGTCTTCCAATACCTTATGTAAAACCCTTGTGAAAACCAAGACAATCTTCATCTTTTAAAGAGTGTTGGAAGGGGTGGCAGCATATCAAACTACCTCTTCTAGAGAAGCAGGGAATGACTGAGCACCCAGGGAAAGCTTAGTCTCATATTTGTAGGTTGGACCATATCGACCCTTCCAGCCCAGTAATTCCATAAGGTATGATTTTAAAGTCTGAACGTAAAGCAATTGTACTAGCTTTTCATAGTCAAGTAGTGTTACCCTCTTGAAAACAGTTTCCTTGGAGAATTGTACACATGTTGATACTGGTGCTGTTGTTCAAGACAACGATGGAATTTTCTTTGAGAATTGCTTCTAGAGCTAACAGAACATTTAGCAATGTATTACAAACACAATAATATTCGTTCTGTCAGGGTGATTTCTGAAAATAATCAATCTGAGTAATGCTGCTTTTGGTCAAAAGCAAGGAATAATTATATGACAAGGCTGCACTTCAAGTGTGGCATGTGAATTTTCTCTAAGGCAATGAAGAAAATAAATGAATTGCTTCTCAAATGGAAATTTCGAGGTGCAATTTTAGGGTTTTTGTAAACTTGCAAGGTTTTTGAGATTCTTATTTCTAACCTATTTCCAATATTTAAGCACATTTTCTCAATTCAGAAAGAATAGTTTCAATTCTGCCTTTCATCAGAGTTTGAATGTACATTTTCATGCCAGAACTGCTAAATCTTTGACTGATATAGTGGGTAGGGGGAGGGATTAATAAGTAAGCAACTCTTAAATTTATCAACCAAAGAATCTAAAATGAAACCACTAGTCATGTATTTTTTTTTCCTGCTTGTCATACTCACTTTGTGTCAAACCTAAGAAGACGGTACTGTGGGGTTTGCTAATTGGGACCCTTCGGCCTTGGAAGTAGTGGAAATGGCGGCTCTCAGCTGCAAAGCAGGACACTGAGTGTGTTCATCACTTGCATACAGTTTACACGGGAGATGTGCAAAGATGACCTTCAGAACCCTGAACCCAGACACATCCGCATGTCCAGGCAGAGACTGAATTTGGGGAATTCTTTGGCCTCACTCCCTTTATAGTATACTCACTCCTGTTCTCCTGCATGTGAATGATACCCAAGGGATGGCTACAGCTTAATTGAATTGTTGGATATATTCTTAATGTTCCATGCCTGGGGTAGTTTTAAGTAATCTTTTCTTTGGAGTCTAGAAGAGCAAATAGTATTTGGTGTTTCTCAAAATGTCTTCAATGGACTCATCTTGCTAATATTTGGGCTTGGCAAATGGAGATCCCTCTTGGCTACAATTTTCTTCTCTTCCTGTGGGGGTTATGGGAGAGGGCAAGAGAGAGATGCAGTGAATGCGTTTCTGATTTATCCACAAGTCACCAAGCAGTTATTAAGGTGAAGGCGTTACTGGTCAACAAGAACTCATAAGGGATTGATCAAAAAGCGCTTTCCTCTTGTAACAAAAAGTAGTTCTTTTTTAGAGCTAAATAATCTGTCACTTAAGAAATATGACTTTCTTCTCTAATATTGGATCTGTATATTTGGATTCTATCTTTGGTTAATAATTTTCCCATCT